TTAGAGCGCGAGTCAGAGCCATCAGTAAACCATGAGAGTGAGAGTGGAACACTCTTTATCTGTAGTATGTAGTAAAAAGCTTACGCTTCTAAAAAATTCATTATTGTACACTTCTGGTAGCACCTGTCTGGTGGATAAAAACTGTGTGAACAAGAAAATAGCCTTTTGTTGTAAGTTCACACTCTCCGTGTCATCATCTCTTCTTATGTTGCTGCATTGTTAGCGCAATTCAACACTTACCGTTACAAAACTGTTTGTTCTCTTTCCTGAACAGATATGAAAGGAAGATTTTTTTTGGTCGAACAGAACTATAACTGAAATGAAAAAAGAAAGTTGTTCCGACACTCTGTCTGTACGTTGGGGCAAGCCATATCTTGCACATGTCACATGCTGTTTGCAAGCACTTATAATTGGTGCACGTGTACTGCTTTTGCGTGGTTTCTTGAGACACGAATCACTTTTCGAACCTGTAATGTCCAAATAATGTCTTTCCCACGATGCATGACCGATTGCAAGTCCATCCACGAGAAGTACTCGCTTTCTGCTCCAAATGACAACAAAAGACCAGACTCATGAAGTGCCGATGCATGCAAAGTTGATTTTATTGCAAGACAAAACGAGCATTCACTGCCTTTAGTCGCAATGACGGCACTGAACTGATGTTTCCCAGAAGAACGCACCAGCCACAAAGAACTGCTAGAACCGGACACTATACTGGTATGCTAGGGCAGGTGCCATTGAGACACGTCTCATATTCTTCTGCGGCGGTTGAAACAGGGTTGGCTTTTGGCCTTTTAGCAGTACTGCAAGCTAAAACATTACTGTATTATTATGTTTAGTTTGTAGTTTTTATATAAACATATTGTTTTGAGCAAAGGAAGGCAAACAAAATGTTTAAACCTTCAAGTCCCTCAAGATAACATCACTAGCTAGTGCCTATGCTGGTCGGCGGTGTCACATTATCACTTTAGAAGCTAGGATTTATTACAAGTGTTATTAAATGTAGACTGAATACTGCTCCAAAATATTTAGAAATCAGCATACCCAATGCCTACTGAAGCAGTGCAGTGGTGACAGTGATAATTTACTATTAGAAAGAGATTTCAGAGCAGAGAATGTGCCGCATTGAAGGGCAGCAACCAACTTACTGCCAGAGCCACAACACGATACGACATGGTGTGGGCTAATTATGGCACCCCGGTGACATGGGCTAACTTCGACACTGGTACAGCAGCAGGGATTTAACGCTGCTAGCGCACCCATGTTTACTTTGCCATTATGCAATGACTGTTGAACTTAACGGTAATAACTTAACGGTAACGGTAATAACTTAACGGTAATAACTTTTCTGACTTTAGGCATGGTGATACACATTAGTAAATATATGCAATAGTAGTAACAGGTTAAAAAAAAAATTGATGGCACATAACGGTACAAGCAAAACCATAAACTTGTTTTCCTCAGCCTATGTGAACAACGTCGCTTGCAATATAACTTCATTTATTATTTTACTTTATTTTAGTATACTACAGCCCAACTTGGGCTATGGCAGGAGTAGGTTTGCATTACACACACAGAAAGGCTATTCAACGCAACAAGTGAAAGAATGAGGGAAAAAACACAATAAAGCTCTTAATAAATGAAGTGCGAATCAAAATACATTCAATCAAGAAATTTCCCAAAAGGCAATTACTTAGTTGACCAAGACAATACATTCTATTTTTCCAGTGTGCCGAAAGAAGCTGAATTTAAAACACATAAAACAGGCACAAAACCGTGCCAGGTTGAAGTTGCGGCTATTTCTTGTGGGTTAAAAATTATTGAAAGACAGATATTTGTTAGTTGTTTGTAGATCTAATGTAGCAAGGCGAGTGTAGGGTGAAAAATTGCAGCAATAAAAACATAAAACTGATGGCTTTCTTTGGACAGATTACTGTGTGTTAATCTCCGATACTTTATAAGGGTTCCATAATGTCAAGCATATTCGAGGATGGGACAGATGAGCGATTTATACTTTTTGCAATTTTATTTCGAGTGAAGCATTATATCGTTTAGATAGCCCAGCTTTCTTTTAAGCTTTACCGCAAGTGTGTTAGGTGCGTTTAGACAAGGACATGTTGGCTGTGAAGATAAAGCTTAGATTACTTATTGGACACACGTTTCAGAGAGAAGCCATTGAAAGAGTAGTCGAACGAGCAAACAGAGGTGCGTTTATAGTAGGAAAAAATGACTGTTTCAACAAAGCTTATGTTCATTTGCCATGTGTCGCACCACTTGCAAAAGAATCATTATGCGAAATGTGGTCATTATTGGTATTAATTACACAACAGTACACAGCCATCAGCGCAAATGCGGGTTTTGGCAGACACATAACTGGGCACATCATTTTACAATAGGAACAGTCCCCGGACTAAGCCCCGACTTAAGTAGAAAATTGATTTGGCTAAGTCAATATAAACTCAACAACATAGTGGCTGCTCATAAATAGGATAGGAAAAATTTGGCAGATCCCATATACCTGGGAATCGACATTATGGGAAGAATGCAAAGGGAAGGTTACAGTGTTGCAAATTTTTCATTGAGTGACACGTCTTGAAATGACTCTAAATATATGGACAAATGTTGCACGCACAGACATACGTTGAAGAGTTTCAGTTGTTTGCACTTGCACAACGATGCGAACTGGACATGCATATTAGCAACACCAGAAGCTCATATGAAGAGCGTATGCTCGCGAAGATGCTGGCCTTAAACACTGCTATATAAATCAACTTCAGGGCATGACAGCTAACCAAAATTGACGTTACCTCGACCTGACGGCTGTTTCAAAGGAGTACGTATTTAATGTTCATAAAATTGGGTAGGCAGCACTGCAACCACTATTGACGTTTCACAAAGATAAGCGTCTATTCGAAAAGCAGTTCGGGACCTGGCATAGCTCTGTGGCAAAATGCTTCATTGCCACGCAGAATGCATTGGTTCGATTCCAGCTGGAACTCTTGACATTTATTCTATGCTTTTTTTCGGGTAGACGCTACCGATGTTGGGCATTTCTTAATGCTCATGCACTAAAATTCCCCATGTGTATTCTCGTCTTGGGTAGCTACTACAAGTGTCAATCCCATGTGGAACATACCCGCATAGGGAACACCAACAATCGTCAGGCGACGCCACCAATGGATGGATAGATGTGGCTGTACACTTAAGATCGGGCGGCGGCTAACGCCACCTAGCCGTTTTCCTTAGTGAACTAACCACTAGTTTTATCTTTTTTTTTCCCCCTTTAAATATGCAGTGAAGGGTTTAATTTTCACTCGTGCTTTGACTTTAGCCACCAATCAGATAACCTTCTTCTAGTTAATTCTACCCGCTTAAAGTCTATTTTGCCCTCTCTGTCCCTAAACCCCGGTGCTTTGAAAAAATCTGTGCCATCATCCTGAACTATAAGGGTGAAGCCCTTTACAGAACATTATCAAGTGTTCGGCAGCTTCCTCCTCCTCTCCACATGCACTGCATACCGTGTCCACCCCTTCGTATTTGGCCCGATATGTCTTCGTTCACAGTACTCCCATCCTGGCCTCAAACAGTAGAGAACTACCCCGAGTATTATCACAGATCCTTTCCTTGGAAATTTCCTGCTTAAAAGTTTGATGGCCGACGTTTCGTCTTCTCGCAAGGTGAGAGCTCCCACCAAGTTGCAGCGCGCAACAGCACAATCTGTGTTTGCTCAGGAACTTCTTCAATCAGCAGCACCTGCACACAGTGCGAAGCTAGGCACGATGTCGCGTGTTGTGTAGTGCGGTTTTAAGCCTGTCGAAGGCCTTGACGACTATTTTCAGCCGTCGCTACTGCGGAAAGAACGCCGCTTGCTGGACAATAACCATGTGTTCGGCGTCCGTGAGGTTGACGAGACTGCCAGCTTGATCATGATTGATTTGATTGATATGTGGGGTTTAACGTCCCAAAACCACTATATGATTATGAGAGACGCCGTAGTGGAGGGTTCCGGAAATTTAGACCACCTGGGGTTCTTTAATGTGCACCCAAATCTGAGCACACGGGCCTACGACATTTCCGCCTCCATCGGAAATGCAGCCGCCGCAGCCGGGATTCGAACCCGCGCCCTGCGAGTCAGCAGCCGAGTACCTTAGCCACTAGACCACCGCGGCGGGGCTGCCAGCTTGATCAAGGAGTCCCCGAAACTGAAGTGAATAAAACAAAAGTAAGTCCCATCAACCGACTGCAGCTGGTGCAGCAGTGTCAATAAATGAAAGGGTCATGGTTGAAACAATAAACACGCTGCACATTAAAATTATCTTTTATGTCAACTTAAGTTCACACATTTCTTAAGTTTCCTCTCCTGCATGGGTGGCGCAATATTTAATCGCAATTTCAATGTACAAGAATGCGCTAATACAACAGTCGGGGATAAATAGCTTTAATGAATAGCGCAAAAGTATCAGCGGACAAGAAACACGCATGACAGCGATGGTCCGTTGCCGTTTCTTGGCCGCCACCGCGTCAACCACATCAACGCCGCGGTAGTCATGCGGTGTCGAAACAAAACTAAGCGCGAACAAATCAGAGAACGGCTTCCAGTGAACATGCAATTTCCCATTTCCTTGCGGCGAACCACACGATAATTCACTTTTGCCCAAATGTAGTGCGATCGTCATCAACAAAAAACACATGGCGTAAGACGGCAACTCGGTGCTTCGCAAGCTAGCGCAGAAATTGTGTTGCACGTCCTTCATTTCATCAGAACGATATCCGTAAATTCAGCTCAAAAATATCAACCTACAAAACATGAGACATTTACAATACAATACACTTACATTAAGCACCCCCCCCCCCCCCCCCCCGTGTAAACTGCCCGCACAATGACTGTTACCCGAGTTTGCTTCGAAAAAAAGACTGAACCTCGTCTTAGGCTGTTATCGCAGTGTGTAGCGAAAGCAGCACACTTCGAAAGAGGAATTCATAAAGATGAATTCACTCACTTGACTTGCCGCCCGGCGATATTCCACTTGCGCCTTTTCTGCAGCAGTCTTTGACCGAGCGGTACCTGCGTCCACTTTTCTGCTTGATATGGGGACGGCCAGATGGTTCTGACGATGTCATGTGGGCTTCAGTTACAGGAACGGGCGCAAATTATTCAGACGCGAAGGACAAGCGCTCGAAAAGCCCACGCTTAATCCACGCTAAACATGTGCAGTGAAGACTGGCCTGTGCGCGCGAACGCCTTCAAGCCGCCAGGTGGCGCGCCCTGTTCTTAAAAAAAATGTGGTGGAAGCACAGAGGAAGGAAAAGGTCTTCCTCCGTGTACAGCGTACTAGAATAGTACACTGTACTCCGTGGGTGGAAGCTACGATGCGATAGGGACTGACAAGACAGACACGGCACTTATATAGGACAAAAAAACTTATGTGACAAGTGTGCCCCGCTGTCTTATCCGACACTTTGCATCTCTCGCCTTCTTCTTTCTTCTTTTTTTTTTCTTTTCTTATCGGCTAGGTCACACTATCTGTGACCACCCAACTCAAAGGGAACAGCCACCTATCATCATCACCATCACATATTTGTTTGTGTTTGTGAACACTATTATTTTTTTTTTCTATCCTAATCAAATAACATGCGTTGAGAGTACTGTAGGTGTGGGGCACTGGCAACGTTGCAGTGACGTTGACCACGTGAATGGGGCGGGCGGCTGTTTTGAAGAAGTTCGGGGCGCCCGGTTAGTTAAACAGCTAGAGCCGAACAAGAAGGGGACCTAGTGAGAGTCTACTAGTGAAATTGAACACGTGTGTTCAATTTCACTAGGAGAGTTAGCGGAGGCGGCATGATAGCGGGATTTCAGATTTGGGTGCACGTTAAAGAACCCCAGGTGGTCAAAATTTCCGGAGCCCTCCACTACGGCGTCTCTCATAATCATATAGTGGTTTTGGGACGTTAAACCCCACATATCAATCAATGATAGCGGGATTAGGGTTGAACGTAGGCCTGTCGGGCACTCGGTCCGATGGTCGGGCGGGCGATGGCTAAGGAGGCTAGGAAAACCACGGGCGAGAGTGAGCTGGTGCAGTGCGAATGCAAGCGCTGGTGCTACTTGGACGAGACAGAATTCTCGAGTTTGGTCGACGCGCAGAAGGCGAGCTTCGTGTGCAGGTTGTGCAAGGCACTGAAGGCGGCCGTGCAGCGCATGGAGACTAGCATCGAGGGGCTTCAGGGAGAGCATAGGGCGGAACGGGAGCAGAGGACAGAACTCCAAAAATAGCTCGGAGCGTCGCGTCAGCGGGAGGAGGCTACCGCCAGCCTATTAGAGCAAATGAAGGGTGACCTTCGAAAAGAACGGGAAGGGCGGCCTGAGCTCGAGCAGCGGATAAAGGAGCTAATGGCGCCTTGCCCCGGCCCCGAGCGGTGTGAGACGGAAGGCGTGGGTAGCGGAGAAGGTGACAGGTGGGAAGGAGCAGGCGAGAAGGGAGGTCGGGGGGCCGCAGTGTCTGGCCACACTACTTACCAACTCCTTCTTGATGAATGCTGCACTTGACGCATCCGTCAGCAAGTTACTGCTCTTGACGCATACACAAAAGCCAAAAGCTTTTGTGTATATCACACTACAATATAATCATTTCACTGTTTTGTCAAGTAATAATTGTGGCAGTTTCAACTCTCTAAGCCCCAATATGATTATGAGAGATACTGTAGTGGAGGGCCCTGAAAATTTCTAGCACCAGGGGCACCTGGTTTTAATGTGCATCTGAATCTAAGTACACAGGTTTCCTGTGTTTTGTCTATCGAAATGCAGTCACCGCCTACATGTTTTGATCTCACACCACTCAGGTCTGCAATTAAGCGCCACAACTAGAGCACTGCAGAGAATTGGCACTTTTTCTGCATAAGGGTATCATATGCAATGTAGACCATCAATAGCATCACTTGATTCTTGAACACATGTACCATATGAAATATACCATATGAAAAGTGGGCGAGTCAAAGAAGTTATATGACATAAACTATGATTTATGAAAATAGTAAAAAAGGACATTATTTACATGGGTTAAAATAGCATCACCTTCACTAGTGGAAACAAGGTATCGGCACATTTTTCTGCACAACATAAACAATTATTGATTCATATATATATATATATATATATATATATATATATATATATATATATATATATATATATATATATATATATATATATATATATATATATATATATATATATATTGACAAGGTTTATACAGGGTGCTTCAGATAACTGAAGCATTTTTTTTTTTAATTTTGTGCACTCTAAAGAAAAGCTGAAATAAAGTTGAACTGGGAAGTTATCTCACCATGAATGAAATAATCTGATGTTGCTAAATAAGCATTATGCTTGTATTGAAAAAGCTTTGCAAGAGAATTTATTTTTTTAATGTTAAACAGCTTGGCGAATGGGAAGTAATTTTAGCATTCATGAAATATTCTGACATTTTTAAAAAGGCCACGATTTTTGTACTGAAAATCTTTCACTAGACTCACTAAGTAAAAAAATTACTTAAGTAGTTATATAATTAACCAGCTTTGTGTATAGGAAAAAGATAACATGCCACATACACTTCAGAACATTATTTAGTTAACTGGACATACATAGCACGTATGCCAGTTTTTTTAACACTAGGCACGAATCAGGCAAAACACCAAGTATACTAAAACAACATAACACTAAGAGTAAATTAATTACTCACTCACAAGGCCAAACAGATGAATCAATATTCCACTTTATTGCTAGATGTTATTAATTATTCTGAATAAATATTATGGCTAAACATTAAATCACATTAAAAAGGCCATCTATGCCTAAGTGCTCTGAGCTACTTTAAAGTCTTATATTTCACACTGCACACATCTACCTTGAATACTCTGTGCAAATCAAGCATAAAAATACTCAGATAATGTGCACACTGAATGCACCAACTGATGTTTAAATATAATAGCATGAACAAATCAAACTGGAAATAGAAAGTATCACAAAAAAATTTCATAAGAATGACAATAGTGCCAGGTTTTATGGCAGAGAAGAGAGCACGAGAATAATTTAAGAGCATTCACATTTTTTGGCTAGTGCCATAGTAGAAAAAAAAGTAGAGTTAGTTGGCTGAAGGTTAAATGTGGCATTCTGCTGATTTGAAAACACATCTGAACACAAAACAAAGAATGACAGAGCTAACTGCATAATGAAGCACAGTAAGATTTCCACTGGAAAGCTTGCTAAAAACTTTCTAAAACCTTGCCTAAAACTGTTTTAATTCAGTAGGACTTTCCTGATTATTTGCAATACAGGGTGACAGTGCATATGAATCACCACCTCCCTATCCTGAACCAATACTCTGTGAATACAGGAACAGTTTCATTATGCAGATGATTGAAACATAAACACAGCAATAAAATCCCCTCTTCTTCCCAATATCATGACTAAAGCTACAAAATGCAAACTTCTAAATTTCACTTCTTCCAATGTAAGCGATCAGAGAAAGAAGTCAGTGGACAGTCATTTCGTCATTATAATCTTGCGTACAGTTGACGTCAAAGATTACTAAGACTGAGTAAATACTGCATTTCAGTCCGAGTTTGAAATACGAGAAAATAGCTATTTGGGACTTCATTCAATCATACTGCACAGTACATGCTGTTGACATGTTTTAAAAACAAGCCAGGAAACTAAATTTATGGTTGCCTACAAAACAAGTGGGGGTATTCAGCTTTTTCCTTAAAGGGGCCTTAAAACACTTTTTCAAGTAACCATAAAATGAATTCACTGGAAGAGCTTATTGACTCACAAACTCAACGCCGCAAAAAATTTTAAGATTTCGTCCAGTGAGAGTGGAGTTACAAAGATTTGTCACACGCTGCAATCACATTCTCTCTTCTCGCATCCCAACGAAAGCACTGGAAACTAAGCAGAAAGAGATGTCAGGGGCAAAAAAATTACGTAACCCGCGCCTCGCGACCTTGATTACTTTTTTTTTTCTTTGAATATGCAACTTCTTCAGTGTGATCCTGTGCACAAGCGTGGACAATCCGTGGCCATCTCTGTAACGACTGAGCGCGCCATGTTTAAATCAGCCAATGGCTGATGAATGAGCTTGCTACATGTGATTTTTGAGCGTCTTCTATCGTTTCTCGAGAGAAGAGAAAACAATTTTTAGGTGACTAATAATTTATAGTGAATTCCAGGCTGCGCGCTGCGCTATAACACTTGGCTTGCGTGTTGTTGGGAGCCTCTACTACCAATCAGCAGCGTATTCTGACCACGCTCAAAAAGTGTTGCAGGGCCCTTTTAAGTCCAGTGCTTCATACACTTTTGACATTTACTGTACATAATAAGTGAACCTGCTGTATAAAGAAAAATGTTTCTATAAAGAGACTGGTGTGGTGCATTCCTGAAAATGTGTGAAGCTTGCATTTTCTTGGATGCTCCTCAGGGAGAAAGGCCACATATGCAATAGGAGAGACATCACTGTTTTCAAGTCAGCATAAACGCACACAGTAGATCCACACAAACTATCACCCTTGCCTCACTTGTGATCAGCTCTGTAGTTTTGGGATTAGTTTTTCATTGAATAAATTTATACAGCTATTTAGAATTATTCAATTAGACAAGCTCTTGTGGATGCCACAAATTTGAGCACTCTTAGCGGCAACTGCACAGGAGGATGTGTGAGTTCATGCTATGGAGCAGTACACTATATTCGAGGGTATTGACAAGGGCATTAGAATACCCATCTCTCGTTTTCTTATCTTGTCTAAATGCACCACGTTAGCCGACCATTAAAACTGGCGCAGCTATCGCTTGACGGTGACGGCTACATAGGAAATCACCACCAGGATATCAAGCAGTGATCGCTATTTTTTCAGTTTTTACAGCAAAGCCATGTCTTGAAGAAGGGAACTCGTGGGCAGCAAAGCTTAATTATGATCAGGGACAAAACACCAAGCCTAAAAACATTGCATGCTGTGAAACTGACAATGCGTAAAAAGATGCATGCTGCTCAAATGACTTAGAACAGCATGGAAACTGCCTCATGCACCTTGGCAAGCAGTGCAAGATGGAACAATGAAAAAAGCACAATTGTAGGCTTGTGCTTTACTTTGGTTTCCCATATCCTTTGTGTTACTGCTCTGGGACAAAGGTCCACCTTGTACAAAGCGATTACAGGGTACCATATAT